CGACCAGGGAAGGGAGAGATGGAACCGGCCCCCCACGCCGCCCCCCGGCCCTGGTGTGGCTAAGGCAGCTGTAGTGACAGAAGTCAGGAGCTCAGATGTAGTGAAGGTCTCCCTGAGGCAGTGGGAGAGACCCAGGTCGTCCGGGACTGGTGTGGAGAGCTGATAGGACTCTACGCAGACTTGTGCTTTAGGAAAAAGGAAGAGGCCAAAACAAAAGCCAGACAAAAGCCAAGTCCTACCCCTGGGATGGACCAAGTCCCCGGGAACGGTCTGGGAGAGAAGCGGCTAGCGCAGGGACCGAGGGGGTCCGCTATTATACTGGGGACTCCTCAACGTGGGTGGTCGGGAAGAAGCAGGCCTTGGGAGATGAAGGCTCTCTCTGTAGACGCTAGAAATGGACTGTCCCCAGTTTATGGCAACAGATTTCTTGGCTAGTGGGGACCAGAATGGGGAGAAGGTAGGTTCTCGATTTCATTGCTAATCGAGCAGAGTCAAGGTGGAAGATTTGCCCACTGGTTAGAAATGGATTCCAGCGTGTTCGTTAGATACACAGATGCTTTCTCCACATACATGCCAGGAAAAACAGTTCAGGGGGGTGGGGGCAGGCTGACTCTTCCAGAAGGGGCAGCTGTCTACTGTCTGGGAGGCTGAGCATGGCTGGAGAGCCAGACTCTGCGGCCTGCTTCCCAGGGCCACTTGGGGAGGGGGGGGTGCCCGGGCTGCGGCGTCCATCCGGGGGCAGCAGCGGCAGTGAGAGGGGCGAGAGGGAGCATCATTTGTCCTGGATGGCCTTCCAGTTCTCACTGCCAGCAGGGGCCCGCTCCCCTTCCCTTAGCTCTGAGTACAGTTTGGCAAAAGCAATCCTAGCTTTTGAAGAAGGGGGTCCTTCCTTCTGCTTAGATAACAGAGGGAAGAAAAAACCCTTTTCCTCCACTGCTCGGCCTCTAAGGCCACAGACCGGCCACATTTCACGGCTTTTTGAGGCCTCCATGGAATCCAAAGTGGCTCTGGAAACAGAGCGAGGCCCAGAAGGAAGAGAGGCGTTGGGGGACGAGACATTCGGCCGGTTCTGAATCGCGCATACTGTTGGGGGCTGGGGGTGCCTGGCATAGCGGAGATGCACACAGGCCACATGGAGAGAGTCTCTGGCTTTCCTGTGGCTTTGCTCCCAGGTGTCACAGCACGAGAATTTGGATTCTGGTGCCACAGTATCGCTGGAACCCCAGGGGATGCTCTAGGGGCAAGGTGAGACTTTCTGGGCACCGAGAATGCCAGGTGATGCTGTTCAGGCTGCTGTGGCGAGAAGCGCCTGGAGGGCAAAACCCTGAGTTCTTTGGACGTGACGTTGCAGGGAATCTTTACTTGGGCTCTAAGGATCGATGGCACAGGCAAAGAAAAGCCCCTCACATCTCAGACATCTGCTTGCGGGGGCAAACACAAACAAGAACATGCGCATTGTTTCTCAGCCGGCAGAGGGGATTCTCAAGTCACACGGTCACAAAGGGAGCTCTCATTCAGACGCCAGGCGTCCAGGCTCAGCTATCCAGAAGGCTTGGCTTTAATGAAGACTGTGGCTTCAGAATGAAAGCCTGAGCGGGCAGGCTTTCTGCCCTGGGAAACAGGACTGTGGATCTCAATGCTCTGCCCGAGTCCCACAGAAGGTGGGGGACATTCGCCTTGTTCCGATGGTCAGCACCTGTCCCAGTCACAAGACCACCCTCGGGACAGCAAGGATATTGAGAGGACAACGGAGATTCTAAAGAGAAGCCAGTCAAAGACACAGGGTTTCGGGTCATATCAAGGGTGTTCACCGGTAAAGGCTTGATGCAGGAGCTCCCTCTCTCTAAGGCCCCCCAAGATGAGGCTGGGGCCTTGATGTAGCCGTGGTCACTTGCTAGGGCTGCAGAAGGCAGGTGGGAATGCTTAGGCAAACGATGTGTAAGTAGATGGTCTTCCGGATGGTCTAAGGTGAGGGCATTGGGGCTCAGAGAGGTGAAGGGATTGCCCTCAGTCCAAGTGAATCAGAGCCAGCTGGGATGAGAACCCAGGTGTCTTGGACCCTGACTCCCTAACACCGGGTCAAAGACAGGAAACGCTCCTCTTTCTGGCATATTTCCCCTCCCACGGCATGTCACAAGGTCCCCTGCAATTGGATAATGTTGCAGAGAGGTTAAAAGAATCTAGTGGCGACGGACAGCCTCCTGCTTTCTTTTGCTCTGGAATCGCCACAGGGAAGAGAAGAGTTTTTCCTGAAGTCTGGTAAACTTCCTCCTAACAAAACCTATCAAGGAGATGTGACAGCATTTTCTAGATCATCTTAATCTGGCCAGGACCTGTCACTCATTCGCGGTCTTCAAATTGTCTGAGAGAGGCAGGGAGCGCCGCTGGAAGAAATGTGGGTGCTTTTCCTCCTTGGTGTTTAATGGGTTACCCCTGCGATAGGATTCGATAGGGTTGTCTAGGTCTACGGCCACTTCTATCTTTATTCCGATTTTTAAAATATTCAAACGCTCTTTGAAAATTCGGCCTTGTGTTAGGCCAAAGAGGACCTTCAGAGCAAGAAGAGCGCTCCCATTATCAGAAATGAATGACTTCAGGAAGAAAAGCCAAGAAAGCTGGAGGAAGGAAAAAGCTGACCTACATATAAAATGCTGCTCCCTTGTTTATGAGGCAAGTCTGCAACTCTTGTCAATTCAATGCCTCTGTGCTCTCATTCAGGGACAAACAAGAATTTTCCTGTAAGACCGCCACGGTCACATTCTCATTTCCATGCCTGAGAGCCCAAAGCCGGAACAAAGGACTTCAGTTGATTTCATGTGAGCCAAAATGGAATGTGAGTGCCATTCAGAGTCACACACTAGAAAGATTTCAGCTGGGAAGTGGCCCCCACAGTCCTGTGGGGTAAATTCCGGTCGTGGGGTGACAAAGGCCAGGCCCCAGGCCCGGCCTCTCCTCCTCCTCCTCCTCCTCCACCACCACCACCACCACCACCACCACCACCACCACCACCGGGCTCCAGGGACTTCTGGTCCCCCACCAGTCCCCCGGGGTGCGACAACAGGACTGTCTTTTCTCTTCCTGAATGGAGCTGGTACCTGGCCACAGCTCTGTTGAGAACAGGTTGAGAGATGTGACCTAAGGCAACGGCAAAGGCCCCTCTTGCTTCCTGGGACGGTGCTCCGGCCCCATTCATTTATTGCTTCATTTCCCTACTTTCACAAAGGGTCTGTGGCAACAGGACCGTGGAGTGACTCTTCTAGATTACAGCTGTGCTGTTGGGTGGAGGGAATAGCAAGGGAGGGGAGGGGACCAGCTTCCAAATTGAGGGGGTAGATGATAAAGTGCCCATTTGTGCTAAAAGAACATGGAAAGAAAATGCACTAGGAAAATAACAGTTGAGGGCAGGGGAAAGTCACAATGATGAACTTGGTGTGTGTGAGAAATTACAACAAAGCAATGATGGGGGCCACAAAGTCTCAACCTTTTGAGACGGTGGCTGTTCTCGATGGTATTGATTAGGATGATCTGGCGATTGTCAGAAAACAACTTCAGGATACCGACCGTCATAGTCACGTGGACCGGCACCCAACCACATCCACCTGCGGCCGCGATGGGCGCCCCCCAGGCCCTCAGGTGGTTCCCTTTTACCCCTGAAACATCCACACAGACCCACTAGTTATAATCCTATCTGTCCTGGAGCAAAGGAGATGAAGCAAGGATATTTAAAAAAAAAAAAAAAAAAAAGTGTATCCAGGCAATTTCACTCATAGTTCCGTTTAGTTCCAGATAGCAACTGCTGATTTTTCAAAGTGCAGGGTTTTTAGATATTCAAGTCCTGCAGGACTGGAGGAAAGGAGTACTTGAAACCTCAAATAACATTTTTGTTTGAAAAGACACACTTTGGAAAGATCTATCCAACAGACTATAAATATAGGCTATTAAATTAAAAATCTGGTTTCAAAATAACACCCTTTATGGCTGGAAAGATCTTTCTCCAAATTCAGACCCAGCTTTCGAATTATTTGGTTATCAAAAGCCAGAGCTAGAAAGACTTGGGTTAAAAAAGTAAAATTACCATTGAATGTTTAAAAAAACAACAACAACAAAAGAAAACCCCAAACACCTCTTTCTATGAAAATGAGAGACATGGAAAAAAAAAAAAAGGCAAATGATGACATCCACAGGTGTAGACAGGAGAGTTACTCCCAGGCTTCCCTGGAGGGATGGTCTCTCAAACCTCAGTGAGCTGAGTTTGTCATGGATCTTTCGAACTGGCTGTGGTCTCGGCCATCCACCTGGTCCAAGTCCCCCGTTTGGTGAAGAAACGAAAGTTCAGAGGGACCTGTCCAGGGTCATACAGCCAGGGAAAAGCAGAGTCCGGCGTTACCCAAACTCTTCCCTCCCCACTGGGCCCTCTCCAGAGACATCACACTGCGGCCACTCGAGGCAGCTAGACGTGACAGGGGCTGCTGCCTAGGAGGCCCCTGGGAGCTAAGAGACCTGTCTACCTATACGTTTCCATAAAATGAGTTACCCAGATGTTTCTCACGGAAAGACCCTGCAGCAAAACAGTGTTTCCCAAATTTGCCCGGTGATGAGGATCACCAGGGACACTTGTAAAAAATTAAAATCTCCAGACCCCTTCCCAGACCCATTGAATCGGCCTCTCCCAGGGGAGGGACCTGGGAGGCTGAATTTTTAACAAGTGCCCCAGGTAACTCTCATCGTTGGCAAAAGTGCGAGGAGACGGTCTTAGAAGATTGTAAGGGAGGAACCTGGCTTGTGACGCTAGAGAACTTTCTCAGCCGTGTGAGGAGGAGCCACACGGCCGTGGCAGGCGGCCCAGGTGCTGACGCTCCAAGCGGACCGGCCTCTTCAGCATCGGCCTCGTTGGGCGAGGGCTCACCAGGGTCTATGTAAGGACACACACGACCACCACAAAATAGCATACATCCTTCACTGCTCTTGGGGACAAGCCTTTTTGATTGGCAAAGCAAAACTGCTGTTCAGACACATTTTTAATAGGGAAACTAGATGTAATTGGCTTAAAAGCAATCAAATGCTGAAAGTGGACAGGAGGGTGAGAACCCTGTCGCTTGTCACCACGGATAACAACGCAATGGAGAAAACCAGTAACTAAGCATAAAAATAGCCTGGAGCCCCCAGGGACGGCAGCCTACTTGGCCACAGGTGTGCCTGGGGGGGGGGTCCGTCCCCGCTGATGGCGTGAGGTCAGATCCAGGTCACCGCGGGGAGATGGGGGACCCGAATCTGCCGGTGAGGGACGCGGGTTCCAGGGGAGGCGGCTGGACCGCGCCGGAGTCCGGGAGGCCTCACTCCAGCTCGGCCTCCATCTGCTCCGTGTCCGAGCACTGGGACTTGTTACGCTCCCACTGGCAAATGGCGTTGGCGTACTCTACCACCAGCTTATCCATCCACGTCAGGGGCTCGGGGAACAGCACGGAGCCCTCAAAGAAGCCCAGGTGGCCGCCGTGCAGAGGCAGCACAAACATGACGTTCTCCCGTTTCTCTGCGGGCGGGGAGGGAGGAAGGCAGCGGAGTGAGTCGGTGACTGGTTACCTCCAAGGCCGGAGGGGCCAGAGCGAGCAGGCCGGGGTGGCCCAGGCTTATCTGAAGGTCAGCAGGAGGGCATCTGACTCCCACTCACGCGGCCTCGTTCACAGATCGGGCACGGGGCGGGAGGGATTAGGTGGGCTGGGCAAGGCAGTGGGATCTAGCAGGTGTTGGAGTGGCCGCTTAGCTTGGGCGAGGAATGGGCACCAGCTTAAGAAATACTTTGAAATCTAAGTGGTTCTCAAACTTGGACGTAGATTAGAGAGAGAATGAGCGAGCGCGAGCGAGTCCATGCACTGGCGTCGCTAAAGCTGACCGGCTGATTTCAATGACATAGTCAGACGTTTCTCAGATTTCACTGAGGCCGGAGGAGGAGCTGAGATTTTGCACGTCTAAGAAGCTCCCAGATGATGCCCATGCTAGGTGCTACGGGGGGGGGGGGGGGGGCAGGCTTTGAGCAGGGATTCCTCGAATTTATGCCATTATTTACTAGAGAACAAGGTTAAGTCAGTGGAGTCCACGCTTTTTCCTTACAGACACTTATAGTTTAAGACTAAACCAGCACTTAAAGCTGCAGGTTGTGTTAAAGATGCTTGAGACATATGGAATGGTCCTGCTGAGCGCCGCTACGCTGGGGCCTGACTTCAGGAGTCCGTGTGTGGCTCAGTCCCCCAGGTGCTGGGAAAGACCGCTGGGGCGGGGGGGAGGTGAGGCCAAGTGGGCAGCTGCTTGTGGCTGGGGAGCACAGGACACATCTGTCTTTCCAGGGGACGGACTGACAGGGGCCCGAGCCTCCTGGCCTGCATGGTTCTGGCTCTGCAGGGCCCTTTTCTTGTCTGATCCCCCTTATTCTTCCTTTTCAGTTATTTCATAAATTCTCTGTGACAGCATGAGAGCTACAGTGTCGCTTTGGACATCAGAAGGAAACTGAGCGGCTGGCTTTCGAGCAGGGAGCCTACGGCTTGCTAGCGGGTTCACCTACATGACACGCAACAACCACTCCGAGCAGGTGCCTGTGCCCTGCCCACCGTATTTTGTACTCCTCTAGCTTGGGGCTGGGGAGAATGAGTGCCCCACGCTCTGGTGAATACGGGATATTTACAAGAGAAACAGGACCGCAGAGTGCTACAAAGGATGGGATCTGCATCTCAGCGCAAGGTGCCCTTGGAATTCCCAAGCGTTTCCCTCGGCTGCCCACCCTCCCTTCCTCCCCCACCCACCCCACCCGGGCTCGAAGCACAACATTTCCGAGAGCAGTGTTCTTTGCTTTCTCAGTTGCTTATATTTTTATCCTCAAACCAGATGGAGAGGCTGTCTGTCTCAAGAGGTAACAGAACTGGCTTTTCTGTTTTGCTTTTCGTGTCGGATTTTAAGTCAAAATATCTCTTTAAGTCCAACTTTCAGACTTAATGGAAGCCTAACCCTGACACGATAATTTCAGAGAACACCAGGGAGCCCCCGCAAAGCCCTCTTGGGTGTGAATATAGGTGGCGGTCGTCTCTGCAACCAGGACAGGACACGAGAAGGCTCTGCCCAGGCCCCCTCACAGCCCCAGGACTATCAGGCCCGGCTGAATGAGAACTCTACTACGGATGCCCTTCCCCGTAGAGGCTGGTCTTCAGGGTGTGACAGCAGGGTAGAGGTGACAGAATTTACCAGGGCAATGTGCTGAGTGGCCGAGGGAGCACTTACCGGAGAGCGATTTGGGGATGGTTAGGAGGCTTTCGTGCACCAAGGGGTCATCAGCTGCGTTAACCAGCATGAGAGGCACATAGATCTGCAACAAGAAAATAAGGCAGAAATAAACGATTGATCCCGTTTCAGACGCCATTGAGTCCAGGCTCAAATGCACTACCGCCCATGTCTTTGAAGCAAAGGGAAGAGGGCCACTGCTCAGCAAACTCTGAGCTGAGATGGGGACTGAGGGTGCCCCGTCTTCCCGGGCAGCAGCATGAATCCTAACCATGTGATCTGGCAGCCTGGCAGAAGAAAAGCCCCCGGTGTTCTGGGTCACCCACGTGCTCTGAGGGAGTGAGGGCAGGGCTCAGTGGGGCTCCCTGGCAAAGTATTTCTGATGATCTTCATGGTATCTCGTTAGCCTACCTTTCAGCAAAATGACCTTATGAAGAGTTATGTGCCCATTCATTCTGTTTACAGTGTGGGGGAGGAAAGATGGGAGTGTGCTCCTCTCCAGACAAGGGAGATTTTCTAGAAGAATCTGAAGGGGAGAACCAGGAGGAGGCTGGTGGATACTGGGAAGCATTCAACATCCATTTTAGTAAGACAGGCTTTTTCCTTTGAGTGCAGATGGACTGATGGGGGGGCGCTCGGACACTACTGAACAGCCAGGCTCTGGGGGTACAGCAGCTGGTTGTGCTCAGCAGGAGGTCTCTAACAGCGGCTCTGGGCAGCTCAATGGCTCTGCAGTGGCTTAAAGGAAGGCACCCAAAGCCTGGGGGATGATGCTAACTGATGGGGAGTGGGCATGTGGTGGCCAATATGACAGATGGCAGAGCTGTAATTCACAGTCACCTGTTTCCGCTGGGTGAGCGGTAGGCCAAACCAGCAGGTGGACTCTGATGGGGCCAAATGGGAATCCTGTGTTTGAGTAAAAGGAGCAACTGTCCAGAGACAGAATGATGAGAGACTGGTCTGGTGGTGGTGCAGGTGGAAAACATGGCGAGTTCGAGGCTGGCCATGGATGTCACTGAATCCACCCCACGTTTATTGCAGCTGCTGAAAACTGCATTCGTCTAAGCCAGGCGACCTTGTCAACACACCTGCTCCTCCTCATTGGGATACAGAAAAACATCTGTTTTCCCCTGCACTCATCAGATCATGGCAGGAACCTTGAGTTTAGTTCTAGCCGTCACACTAAAGAAAGGCACAGGGGCCAAAGCAAGGGTCCGAGCTAGCAGGACATCTACACAGATCTATGAGGAGCCATGGCAGGAAGTGGGCAAGATCTCACTGTTAAAGGAAGACTGAGGGACCAATGGGTGTTGCAGTAAGGTCCAGGGCTTTTCCGCAGAGGCAGGAGCAGACTGGTCCCACGCTGCACCAAGGGGCAGCTCTGGGATTAATACACGGGGGTCCCCGAGGGGCAGAGTTTGGGTCAGAAGCCAAACCCAAGCCAACAGCCTCAGGTGTCCAAGCCCGGTTCTGGCTGAGCTCCCACCAAGGATGCTGGGGAGGGTGCTCACTGCGCGTGCGCGAAGCTGGAGGCGGGGCCACCGATTCGGGGAGGCTGCTCGCTCCGGTCCCGCCCCGACTCACCCGGTGCAGGTACCGCATGCAGCTCTCCTCCTCGTAATATTCCTTCAGGGAGTTATAGCCGTGGAACTTCCTGCGACACACACACGCAAAGGAAGACAAAGGAATCCTTGTCACAAGACCGGACGCTGAGCTGACTCTGCCCCCTACAGGCTCTGTGACCTCAGGCAAACTCTAACCTTCTCCCTCTGTACAGTGGAGCTAGAGACCGTGCCTTCCTTAATGGCCTTGAGACTGATGACATTGAAGTGCTGTCAGAGCAGAGCCTGGCCCAGCCATCGCTCGGGAAGGGCTGGCCACAGTATTTATTTTTTATTTTTAAGATTTTTTTTTTTTTTTTTTTTTATTGCCAGAGAGAGAGCACAGGGTAGAGAGAAAGCAAGAGTACAAGCAGGGGGAGCAGCAGGCAGAGGAAGAAACAGGCTCATTGCTGAGCAAAGAGCCTGATGTCGGACTTGATCCCAGGACCCTGGGACCGTGACCCGAGCCAAAGACAGACACTCAACTGACTGAGCTACCCAGGTGTCCCCTGGCCACAGTATTTATTAGCAGGTGTTATACCCTTCGAGTCGGGATAAAACCAGATGTCACTGCAGACACTAGGAAACTGACATGCAGAGGCATTTACAAGAACTTTCTCTTCAACAGAATTTTTCCCTGCAGAGGAACCCTGACCACCGGGAACTGGAAAGGAACATGTCTCAGGTAATGGGTGCGAGACAGAGATCCAAAGTTAGCAATTCTGCTCACCCGTGGAGCTGCAGTCAGAGACGTTTAACGGAACTTTCCCTGTTCCTGCACGGAAGTCCAGCTGCTCGGCTCTGCCCTGTGCTCTGACACCAGCAGCCCGACTCAACCCCAGGCCAGAGGATCTCTGGAAACCTCCTCCTGACACATATTAGAGCCTCTGGTTTCTGACTGGCGGTTGTGTTCTATTCTGACTTGGGTGTTCACGAGACTGTGCCTCCCCTGAAGCTTCGGCTATCTTCCACTGCCGGGCTGTGCAGGCATCTCCACCTGGGAAGGCCCCAGGGGGCACAGGCCACACTGTGAGGGCCCACTTGAGGGGGAGAGGCCGAGAGCAGTGGTCATCTCTGGGGCACCTGTCCTCGTGCAACCTTTGTGGTCTCAGCGGGCCAGGGAAGCACTCCAGTCCTCCAGTCCTCCTGGTGACGGGATAATGAGGAGGCTGCCCAGCTGGTCATGTTCATGGAAACTGCGACAATCCAGCACAATTCAAAAGGGAGAGCTTAAGGGAGAGTTGAAGAACCTTCGCTTTGGGGCTCACACCAATTCAGAAGATGAATGGGGAATTTCAGTGTTTGGTTTCTTTCTCATTAGATGCCACAATAAAATGACACACGATCCAGGGAGGGTGGGCAGAATCCATTCTCACCTTCTCAGCGTACCAGTGATTTTCTGGTTTCTGTCTCCTTTGTGTAAATGTTAACAGGCATATATCTGGTGTAAGAAAGCTACTAAAATGCCATAAGGAAGATAAGTCCCCTCAGGTCAGTATCCACTTATCTACTGATGAACCCTAGCCTGCTTTAGACCATGCCTGAAGGTATCAAATGGTCATTGGATGATTTTTTTTTTCTTTAAGATTTTATTTATTTATTTGAAAGAGAAAAGAGAGCACACAAGTAGGCAGAGCAGCAGGCGGGGGTGGGGGGTAGGGGGAGCAGGTGAACCGCATGCGGGGCTCGATCCCAGGGCCCTGGGATCATGACCTGAGACGAAGGTAGACACTTAACTGAATGAGTCACCCAGGCACCCCAGGGATGAGGTTTTTAAAGAGAACAGTGAGGTCAGAGATCAACAATTGCTTTTTCCAGCTAAGGCTAAGCTCAGTAAGCTCAATCAGAAAGTATGTGTGCCAGGAAAGAGGACATTGTTGGGTTCTCAGCCTCGGGTGCCTGCAGGGGGCAGGTAGGTGAAGGGTGAAGGAACAAAGTGGGTGGGGTTCACATAGGACACCGGGAGGAGAGGTTTCTTGCTCACAAAGAAAAAGGCTCTGTTTTCCTGCAAAGACAGCTCTCTTGGTCTATTTTTTGTTTTTTTACTTTTGATAGAGACATGGATGGTTACAAGAAATATTTCCTTTTCCTGTCAATGCAAATTATGTGGCAATTGATCCCTGCCCTAGGGTCAGGGCACGGCAGGTAGGGTAAGGACCACGGACAGCAGGGTGTACGCACCCCAGCTCCCCAGTTCCAGCTCAGTTATGCCACACAGGAGTGCAGAATGAGCGGGGACATCTTCTCCTTGTTTTCTAAGAGCAACTAGAAATCTGGATTTTTCTGTGTGATCTTCAGTTTTTAAACACGAGACATTCTTTTATTCAAAGAATGAAAAAAGCCCTGGGGCACCTGGGTGGCACCCTCGGTTAAGCGACGGATTCTTGGTTTTGGCTAAGGTCAGGATCTCATGGTTCATGGGATCAAGCCCCACCTTGGGCTCCACGCTTAGCAAGGAGTCTGCTTGAGTTTCTCTCCCCATCTCCCTTTGCTTCTCCCCCTTGTGCTCTCTGTCTCTCTCTCAATAAATAAATCTTTAAGAACAAACAAACAAACAAAAAAACCCCTTTACACTAAAGTGGGCGAAGAAAGCCCTCGTGCTGGGCCGGCTGGCCTGCAGCCTCCTGCCGGGCACCGTGTCCCTGAGCACGCACACACCTCATCACGTTGTCATCAATCTGCATCAGGGACGTGGCTGTGTAGAGGCGGCTCAAGTCTGTGTCCTCCAGGCTCTGGGGTTTCTTAACATGGTCTCCAAAAAGAGCTTGCCTAGAATGACACACAGCAGCAGACGGTGAGCCAAATCATCATGGTGAGCAGACGGTGAGCCAAATCATCATGGTGGACACTTGAAACATCAGATAATTGTCAATTACACCTCAGTAAAGCTGAAAAAATATTTAAAGAATGGGTGAGGAGCACCGAGGGCAGAACCTGCTTCCTGGCCCCGAGGCAAGCCAGGAGCGTCTTTGAGAAGGCACATGGGGGCAAGTTAGGACGAGATCCCTTCAGCCTTCCCCACGTCCCAGAGGATGAGATTGCAATGTTGACTTTTGAATAACTGCAGAAAGATGGCGGCCAAGATCTTATTTTCCTTCTCAGGGGCAGCTAGACAGAGACCAGGTTAGAGTCTAGGTGAATACAGTTGACCCTTGCACAATGTGGGGGTGGGGCACCAACTTATGGCAGTCAAAAACCCATATAGAGCTTCTGACTCCCCCAAAACCCAACTATTAATATCTTACTGTTGACCCAAAGCCTTGCCCATAACATAGTCAGTTAACACATATTTTTTATGTTAGCTGTATTACATGCTGTATTCCTACAATAAAGTAAGCTAGAGAAAAGAAAACGTTACTGAGGAAAAAAAAAATACATTTACGGCACTGGCCTGAGAAAAATCCACATCTAGGTAGAAACACACAGTTCAAACCCGAATTGTTCAAGGGTCGACTGTATTACAAATCCTTTGCAGCAGGGGAGGTCTTAGGATGGGCTCTGCGGTGAGTAGGAAGTGGTCAGCCAAACTGTGGGGGGGGCCTTCTACGGTTGTGGGGCTCTGTCTTTACACCGGTGCTGACACTGCCCGTTTTTCTTTAGGAATGGTTTCTGTCACTCAACAAGGAAGACAGCGGTGAACCCATCCAGCGTTGGAGCAAGTCAACGGCTCTCCAACACGTCTGCTAAAAAGCTTACATATACTCAGAATCGTCGTCATTTCTCTTAAGAAAAAGATTCATCTTGAGAGGATGATAATAAGGGCAGAGATCGCAAAATGTGCACAAGTAGACTTTTAGTCCTGCAAGATCTCCGGCACGCAGCTGACAGAGGGCTGAGCTTGCGGTCTGGCTCTACCAGGTGAGAAAGGTCATCATGGAAACTAAACGTTCTGGTATCTACTCACAGCCTTGCTCACAAAGGAACACACTCCCTTAGCATTTTTCCCCGCAAAGATTATTAGGAAGATCATATACCCACAGTTGAGAATTCACAGTTTAAAGTGGCCCTAAAATTTCTAGATGTTGGGCTTTCTGTAGTAAATTTAAAAAAATGTAAACGCACCTAGAGCACATTCAGAGGACTGTCTCATTTTGTTAATAATTACATGATGAACCTTCTGGACTTATTAATTACAGGGCAAGACTGGGCCCTGTAGCAAAACAAACGTTCTCTGGAAGGAGCTGCTTCCCATTCCAGAGGTGTGGACAGGCTGAAAAAGGGCCCACACTTGGTGTCAGAGCTTGGCTTTGTCCCTTCTAAAACCCTGGCAAACCCACAGCCCCTCCTGAACCTCCGCTGAGCCACACCTGCCTCAGGGCCCGAACACCACAAGCTGAGTTAGGACAGCTTATATCCAGTCAGCCCAGGGGACAGAAGTCTCCTTCTGTCCTCCACCCACCCACCCAGTCACAAGGGCCCAGCAGCTTGGCAGCTGGAGGGGCCTGCAAGCGCCAGCCTCGCCCAGACTCCCCGTGAGCCCCGCTCACAGGAAGCCCAGTCTGGGGTGCTTGGCTGGGAGAGGCAGTACCCTATTTTCTTTTAACCATTGAAATAAAGAGAATAAGCAGCTGATCATTCAGTTGGATTGCCTTTCCCAGGATGACATCAACCCCCCACCTGAAATTGTATTGACCCCATGATGTGCCAGGCTCTGGGGGAAATCAGAACCAGCCCAAGCCCTCCAGTGCTCTACACTGCAGGTCAGGACGCAGGATTCACACCAAGGAAGCGGTCTCATGGAGGAGACCTGAGATGGACCTAGAGTTTTGGCGGACATGATGGGAAGGGTGTTCTGGGCAAGGCCCCAGTGGTGTGGGAGAGGCCAGAGGGCACAGGGGCTTCCATGTGGCCCAGTCCAGCAGCGGGAATGCAGGTTTGGGGGAAGAGGGAGGGATTCTATCCATAATAACAGTCATAACAATAAAACCATGGCTAATATTTACTGACTTCTACTGCACGCCAGGCACGCTCTAAGCAGTGGCCGGGGGCTGCTCCACCAAAGGATTCTGAGCGGGACTGAGGCAAGATGAACACGGGGAACATGGTGAACGGGGCATTGTGGACACCAGGCGGTGCCCAGTGGTAGACCGCTGTCACACGGCTGCTGGTCAGAACCCCTTGAGCCCACAGAGGGTGAAGACGCTCGATCCTTCAGCACATGAGCAGTCCAAGGAGAAGGGTTCCTCGGCCATGCCAAGCCACCCTCAGGATTGCTCCAGTTTGGGCAAGAGCGATGGAGAAGGGTTTCTCGTCTTGGCTATATGGGGAATCTCGAAGGCAGGACATGGTTTGGTGGATCTGGCAGCTTGGGACGAGTTTGTTCCTAAGCAAGTCACAAGCAACCAGCAGAGAAGCTGCAGTGCCCCTGCCTTCATTGCGTTTTTCTGGAGGGACCAGAGTTCTGGCTTTCAGCGACTGGAAAAGAGGCTCAGAGAGGCACGGTCTCCCGGCGGAGCGCGGAAGGCGAGGTACCTGTGCGAGAGGATGATCTTCTTCATGTTGTCGGCCATGAGGAAGTTGTAGAAGCGTCGGCACTGGTCCCACTGCATGAAGGTCTCCTGGGCCCTGAAAGAACGGCAGCCAGAGTGAGGGACGGCGCCTGTAGGGATGCACCGGTGTCCCCGCCCCAGAGAAGGGTCTCGCAGCACTTCTACCCCAGAGAAGGTGGCGGTGCTGACTCCTGATCCCGGGACATGGGTCTTTGCCCATGGGCTCAAACTCTCCGTAGAGAGACCGATGGAGACACTGAAATAGCCAGGCTGAACGTGAGTCCCCCCATGAGAAAGCCGTCTGGGGGCGCTGGCTTTGTGGAGGGACGGTCCTGGCACCCTCGTCCAGCCTGGTGGCCTTCTCTTCGTCACGGAACCTGCCAGGACTGACATCTGAACACCTCTATTCAGCAGGGAGGTTTTCCCTAGCTTAATGACTGGTGTGTGTAAGGGGAGGGTGGTTGTGGAGAGGCACTGTGCAGGGAAAAACCTAAAAACGTCTTCCGTTGCTGTTTGAGAAGCAAAGGGAAATCATACCATTTGAGGTCCTTTTTTTTTTTTTTTTTTTTTTTTTAAGGATTTTTTATGTACTTATTTGAAAGGGAGTGAGTGAGAGAGATCACATGAGCAGGGGGAAGGGGAGAAGCAGACTCCGCTGCAGAGCAGGGAGCCCGATTCGGGACTTGATCCCAGGATGCTGGGATCATGACCTGAGCCAAAGGCAGACGCTGAACTGACTGGGCCACCCAGGCGCCCCACTTGAGCTCTTCTGATTAGCTGTAGAACATTCAAAGGGCAAGTAAATGGAAGGAGAAGTAGACGGTGATCCCCTCCTTCTGGGCATGGCTGCTGGGGCCGGTTCTGACGTCTTTCTGCCGCTAGAGCCAGTGTGTGCAGTCAGCACGACTCAGCCTGCCTGACGTGGGGGTCACTGCCTGATCCCCCCAGCAGCAGCACTGGGCAGGTATTATCATCCCTACTCTAGATTAGGAGACCAGCATGGATTCAGAGAGATCAAGGGACTGGCTCCGGGTCACACTAAGGCAGTAAGGGGCAACCTTCTCTAAGCGCCGGCACACCAGATTTCCTTGGCCACATGACAGGTGAGCAAACGGGCGATGTGCTAACTCTCGCCGCCGGGCTCGGCCCTTCCCGCTCAGCACTCTCTTCTCTGCCTGTGAACCCAAATACAGCTGCCACAGAGTCCATGCTAACCCCCGCCTTGCAGACGTCTGAGTCTCAAGGCCTGTTGCCACCCTGGGAATGAATCTGGGTGTCACCATTCCCGCACAGCACCCGTCAGTTTCATATCCCAGATGGCCAAGGAGAGGACTGGGTGGTTCACAGGTATTTTTGAAAAATCCAGGGAGTTTCTAAAGTCATTTCCCCAAGGCTTCCATATTTCAGTTTTGGAATGGCAAACATTTCCTGTAATATTGTGGTTAAAAAACCAAGAGATAGTGGGAGGTTAAAAGTGAAGTGGTCTGTGGCTTCCATGGTCTGTGACATGCTCCTAAACTAAGGCTAAGACTGCCTTCAAGGTCAAAAGGCCATTCTATAAAGGCACGAGGGTCTCCCCAAACACTACAGAAACAGAAAGGATGGGCTAGATCACCGGGGGCAGGACCCCGACTAAAACAGGGAACTGGACACTTGCCTGGTGGTCTGACCGAGGAGGGAGGGGGGAAGTCACCCGATCCATGAACCAAAACCTGTTTCCTCTGCCAGCAACCCCTCTTCTGACCTTGGACCCAGGCTGCCCCTTCCTCAGAGAGCCAACGGTCTCATCGTCTCAGCTTTCTTTGGCCCGTGGCTGTTTCTGCCTTGGCTGACTTCCTAGCTTTGGTAAGTATGTCCTGCGTATGGAGGGGATGCAGAGGAAAGGAAGCTGGGGTGGGGGCTGGTCATACACTCCCGGAAAGGCTCTGCGGACCCCCAGGGCCCAGGGCTCAAGGACGACCAGGATGAGGACACTGCGACCATTGTCTCCCTCCACCAGTGCTGGCTGGCACAGCTTCCTAGCTTTTCTGCTTTACCACTCGGTGTATGGAGAGCCTGTCACCACCTTTGGGTGTAGAAGTACGGAACTGAAACTTCATTTTGCATTGGCTTAATAAAACCTAATCAAGAGTAATGCCTTATAAATACATTCATTCCATATGTTTTTTAAAAAAGGTTCTGATCTCTTTAACACCAACAACATACGGAAGGAAATGAGGGAGGGGAATCTAGAGACTCAAAGAAACTTCTGAGACAGCTCACCAAAGGCAAGGCACAGGCATTACGTGGGTCCTGACTTAAGCCAACCGTTAAAAAACTTCTGTGAAACAGTCAAGGAAATCTGAACCCTGAGTAGAAATGGGATACGAGGGAATCATTCATTTCTCAGTATGATAATGGTATCATGCTTATATTTAAGAAAAAGTCCTTAGTGTCTTTTAGTGCAAACAAATGACATATTTCTGGATGAAATGATACGATGGCTGGGATTTGCTTTGAAATAATTCAGATTCTGGGAGATCGGCGTGTGCATAAGGTGTAAAGGGAACAGAGAGGGAATCCCAAGCAGATTCCCCGCTGAGTGCAGAGCCCCACATGGGGCTCAGTCTCATGACCCTGAGATCATGATCTGAGCCAAAACCAAGAGTCAGGCCCTCCACCGACGGAGCCACCCAGGTGCCCCAGGAGATGGGATTTTTAAATCACTTACAAGAGGGTCCAAATGAGACAGGCATCTACAGTCACGTGCAGGGCAATCCACTAGGGCAAGGAAGAGCTGAGCATCTGCTTCTACCGCTGAGGGGCTGCTCAGAGAAAGCTCAACTTCTCAACTCATATTTTGCACCATGATTGGACCAAGCATTGATGAAAAGGAACTGAAGTCAGAGGAGAGTGACCTGGGGAAACAACGCATCTAACACCCAAAAGCATTCAAATCTCCTGACTCAAGTGAGTAAGATCTCAGAGTGCTGAAAGGCCGTGAGAGTGGCCAAAACCACATTTCTGGGGTCTTCGTGAAGACACAAACGGTGGCAGAGGGAGAGAGGTTCTGTGAGACTGGGTGCCCGTGACTCCAACAGTCCAGAAAGGGACAAGAGGGCAGGCGTGCTGCAAATTACGGCAGGTGATGAAGTTCCAGGGTGTGGATGTAGGCAATACTAAAACACACCTTGAAAGTGATATGCTAACGGAACCGCAGAATCATGGTAGAGTAGTATTTCCCCAGAGAGTTACCACACCAATGTAAGAAAACCGTTTTATTTGGGGAGGGGAGTTTCTCTTCCAGGCTTTGCCCACCTACAGTCTTTTTTTAAATTTTATTTTATTTTTAATTGTGGTGGTAAAAAAAATACAGGGTTTACCTTCTTAGCCATTTTTAAGTATACAGTTCTGTAGCGGTAAGTATAGTCACGTTGTTGTGTAATAGATCTCTGGAACTTTCCCATCTTACAAATGGGAAAGTCTATATCCATTAAAGCAGGACTTCCCGTTTCCTCCACCCTACTGTAACTACAATTACAGTCTCACATAGTTGCCTTCCTCACATTTTCCCCCATATTATTATTTTATTATCATTTTTAAGTAGGCCCAGCGTAGAGCCCAATGCAGGACTTGAACTCACGATCCTGGGATCAATACCTGAGCTGAGATCAAGAGTCAGACGCTTAACTGACGGAGTCACCCAGGCCCCCCCTCCCTATTTTTAATACATACATTCAGTCATGTTACATATTTTCTTGATTTTTTAAAAAAAATAAAATCTTCCTTGTTTGCCATTGTACTTTGTGGATCATAATTTACGGCCGTCTCTCATAGTGGATACGATCTGGGTATCTCTAGCTTGGCCCTACAAGAGAGTCATACTGTAGTGGGGACAAAACCAAAAGCAGCCTGGAACAGTGTGGGTTCTGGGAGGAAGGACAGCAGAGCCTCTGCACCTGAGAGACCCAGGCACAAGGGTTTTGGGACAGAGTGTGCCTTGAGAGAGCAGGCCAAAGGAAACCATCTCTGTACTGGGGAGCGGGCCCAGAATCCTTCACTGAAGCCTTGCTAGGCTGTGGGGCAGCATAGGGCATGGAGCCCAGACAAAGGTAGGGAAGGCCACCCATTAACCTGCTCTCTGCATGACCAGAATATTTTCCCTTAGGATGTACTTTTATAGGAATGCGATTACTAAGTGAAAGGGTCAGCTGCATACCCTCGTTTCTCTGGTAGAAAAAAATTAGCAACAAAAAACAAGCAACAGTCCCCAAGATGCCATGGGCAAGCCATGTGGTCCGCTTCACAGTCCACTGGTGGAAAAGCCGAGCTGTTTCCCAGGCTGGAGATCTGCCCACAGAGTTTTGTCTAAACTCAGCAGATTCGCCCCCTTTGCTTGGCTCTGATACAAAATTACTGATTGTTAAAACGGTTATACAGCTCTTCCACAGTAAACACAGATCTGATGAAGGGACAAGTCTATATAAGGACTTTATGAATGACAGCCCTTGCTCTGGTCATAAATGCATCCACATTCTGGAGTTTGCCCATTCAAAGCAAGAGAGAATATATACACCATTTGGCCAGGAACATGGGGCCTGGCTTTCTCTGCAGCAGGAAAGCCTGCTTAAAAACACTATGTGAAGACTCAGCGCTGCTCCCACACCCACTCAGCCAGGAGCAGGACTACACGTGGGAGATATGGTAACTTCTCTACTGTCCTCGAAGGGGCCCCTGCCCCCTCCCCCGGCCTGGACCCCAGGTCCCTGACCTCTCCCTCCCCACTGGATGAGGACTTCTTCAGTACCATATGCCTAGTGTGTAATATTGTATTTTATTTTATTTAAAGCCTTAATTTATTTCAATAGAGAGATGGGGGGAGGGGCAGAGAGAGGGGGAGAGAGAAAATCCCAAGCAGTCTCCCCGCTGAGTGTGGAGCCCAATATGGGGCTTGACCCCATGACCGTGAGATCATGACCTGAGCCGAAATCAAGAGTCAGACGCTCAACTGACTGAGCCCCCCAGGCGACCCGCCTACTGTATAATCTATTTTTGACACGTACTTGCTGGTTCGCTGCTTTGCAAACATCATTCTATTTTTGGGAAGTGCTGTGAGGTCTAAAACACAGACTCTTATACCCAATCTGAAATGAAACGCTGGTATTTGGATCATGCTATTATTGGCAGATTCTGCAATGCCAGATTGTTGAGCGCTTCCTTAGGAATGAAGAATTGATTTTACCAGAAACCGGTCCATGAAAGCTTCCCTTCCCTTTTCTTTAAGCCCCATGAGGGCAGGAAAGTTTTCTGTCTTGCTCGAGGCTGGGTCCCCATGACCCAGAAGGGTGTCTAGCGGGACGAACCAAACGAGTCTCGGGAGGGCTTCTCTGAGGGTCGTCTTCTGGGACCACTTCTCTTCCCTCTCACACTCCTGTCTGTTCACTACTCACTGGAAAATTCACAACCCAGAGTCTTCATAACAAAGTTCCAAATGAGGAATTCAAGCAGAGTTATGCTGAGTCTGACCACACACATTTCCAGGATGAGCAGGCACCAGCTGGTGCTGAGGGCACGAGGCTAAGTCCACTAGAAGCGTGTCATTTCGGGGGACCTGTCCCCCCCTTTCAGCGGTTCAGCACATCATGAACGTGGGTTTTTCTAGCGGGGGCGAGGCTCTGCTGACTACGGCAAGCGGGCGCTGGCTGCTGGGCCTCGGGCGGCTCTGGCTAGAGGGCCAGTGCGCTACGGGGTGAGAAGCCAGCGGGAGGGGATGCGTCTCTGGCAAGCGGTTCTCAGGACTCAACTAGGAGAGATTTACCAGCAGCATGGACTCCCGTGCGGCGCCTGCAGAGGCGAGAGCCCTCCCTGCTCCGCCTCGGCGTCAAGGATGCCGGCTGCCTTCGTCCCAGTGCTGAGAAGGCTCATCGCCCTCAAGCCTTGGCAGGAGAAAAAGGTGACACTGGTTTAAAGGAAGGCACTGTCCTTCGGTGAGTAGGTCTCGTGACAACGTGGGGGGGCACCTGAGCCTGGGCAGCGCCCGCACACACGGGGCAACGGGTACCCCCTGACCCACCACCCCCCTCCAGTGTGTATGGCCACAGGATGCTAGTTCTCTGGGCTCCAGGGGACAAAGCTGCCTCTTTCTCTCCGCGGTGGATGTGACAGCAGGACATCAGGAGTCTGAAGATCTCTGAGGTCTCAAAGAGGGGTGGCGTGGACAGTGCCTCCCAGATCCCAGAGCCAAGGTTTCCTAATCTGAGTTCACCAAACACACATTTCATGAGCTCTTGCCAACGGCAGGTGGCGCTCGTGCAGCAAATGGAAAGCCAGGGCTGTCACTTAAGATTCTGTGCTTGGGGATAAAAAAAAAAATGAAAACAAACTTGCCCCGCATCCTCCTACTTAGCAAATGCTGGGCTCTCTGAACACAAAGTCCGTGCTCACAGTGGTTCCACACCGCTGAGTTTAGGAAGGGACTCGAGCGATCCCAGTTCTCAGGTGACAGCCGGCTGGCTGAAAACGGGACCGTGTGTCAGGTGAGAGCGGGCGGGGTCCTCACGCCAGGCCCCGCTCCCCTGACTCCTGCCGTAGGGCCCTCACTATCCCCGCGGCCGGGCAGGGTGGGACTTCGGTGAACTCCAGTTACACAGTCCGCTATGAATTGGGAACTGGATATTTCTAGTCCAGCCAAGATAAAGGGACGTGTCCTTTCAGCTGGCTCTCCAGAGCACAGAGGGGACTGAGGGGGAGGATTCCCAGCAGGAGGATGAGGGGACCCACGTCATCCGGTGACAGCAGAGCTGGAGCGGGTCGCTGATGTCCCCAGCGGTGGCTAAATGTGGCTACATATTGGAAGTGACTTGTGAAATGTGTCCATATGCAGATTCCTGGCCCCATGCCCCAGATTCTTGAGTCTGCATGTCCAGGGCTGGGGCCCAAGAACCTGAATTTTATTTCCAAGATGATGGCCCAGGTGATTCTTAATGGAGTGAAACAGTCACCAGCCCATCAGACTGGTCTTTGCGACCGACTGGCCTAACCCCTACTTCTAGTGTCCCAGTGACTGCGGATAATTACCAGTTACCGACTTTCTACACAGCCGTCCTGCATAAACATGTGCTCCCTCCTTTGATGCTCACCATGGCGCTACGAGGTCGGGACTACTCAGCGTTGTTGTCATCTCCGTCACAGGTGAGGAGACCCAGAACCCAGGCCTCGGCTCTAGAACTCAGGGAAGCTTCCGTTGGGTATGTGTTTCAGGTCTTCACTGGGGCACATTTAAACCCTCCTTTTTGGCCAGCTTGACGCCTCATGGGCAGAGCCTGAATTTTGGGCCTGCATTTGCCCTTTGAGTGTGCTGGTTTCAAATTCCAGTAATATATATTTTTAGAAATAACAGGCAGCCTCTATCAGAAAATGCTGAAACAGGTGGAAATTACATGGTGAGAGATACAGGTGAGGCAGAAGGGCAGGAATTCCTTATTAACTCTAAGGACTGTTCGGTATTAGATGGGATCAGTAAGACTTTTTTTACTTTCCTATGCAATTCTGGATTTCTCCAAGACATCTTTAATAACTGATCATATGCATTTGAAATATAGAAGACATGATCAGGGAGAGTGAGTGTGGGAAGAATGTGAGTGCATTTGAAGAGTGTGGAGACGTGTGTGTGTGTGTGCACGTGTGCAGTGACTCTTGAGACATTGGGGATACCCTGCTCTCGAAGAGAAGGCAGAGCTGATGAGACTGCCCTCCTTGGGCTCATCCTGGGGGGCTCTGTTGGCAGGAGACTAAGGGGTGAGGTAAACCTTTATCTGCCAGGTCATCTCCATTGTGGCGATGTCTGGGATGTCCACGGGAGATGGACACTTGAAGGCGAGGGCACAGATGAAGTGGTTTCGACAGACCCTTTCCCCACACCCTCTGAGACCCAATGCTCCCCGAGGCAGGAGGGCTCTGCAATGATAAGGCCCGGCTCTCAGATTCCGGCTTGTGCAGTCTTCCATAAACCCACGGCCCTACAAAAACTCCTGGAGCATGAACAGATGAAGGTCCCTCACGAGACTCCACAGGGAAACCACAGTTGTTAGAAGGGACTTTGGCTTATTCTGTTACAGATCTCATCCCCCAACAGAGCTGCAGATCGGGCTCAAGGAGTCTGGTAAGACAGCTCCAGGGTATGACATGAAAGCAAGACAGAGTGACTCCAGGACCCACACCCTTCAGCTCAGTCCGCCACCGCATTTCCTCGGGTCTTTGCAGACGTGAGCTGGCGTCCTGAGCCATTTCTACACACACCCGAGGGAGGTGAGGGACGGAGGCGTGGACGTCACTCACCTCAGAGCGCTGTACCCCTGGCACACGCTGACGCAGCACAGGACCTTCTCTTGGTTTGCCTGAGTCTCCCCCAAGTATTTACACACGATGTTACCGCCCAGGCTGAAGCCCACGACCACCAGCTGGGTCTGGGGATACGTCTTCTTGATGTAGTTCACCATGGCTCCAAACTCCCAGGTGCAGCCTGTGGGCAGAAAGGCAAGGCCACACAGTCATTTCAGATGCAACAAAATGAGCTGGAGGGTTCCGGACTGAGTGTCAAGGTGCTAACAGAGGGGTGTGTGTGTGTGTCTGTGTGTGGAGAGAGAGAGGGAGGGAGGCATCTACACAGACACTTCTCTTTGGCTACCTGGATAGAAATTTCTAGAATGCTCCTCGGTCTAAGAGGAGACCCAGCCTTCGTGGTGCCCATGAGGGGAGATACCATGCATCATACAGATGTGTAATGCTCCCCAGAGGTGGGTTGTGCAAAACCTGCCTGGAGGCACAGGGAAGTCGAAATAGATATACAGGGTGTGTGTGAGCACATTTGTTCGCACACAGAAGCAACAGCAAAGCCCTTTGGGATTTGCTTCTTCGGCTATAAGACAGGATGCTATTCCCATGTGTATCATGACTCATGGTGTTAAGAAAAGAACCAAGTGGATGTTATTTACAGGACCTTCTGTCGGCGCGGGGGAAGGAAGGAAAGACAAACTTCCGTCTGGGGGGACGGCCAATGCTCTATAGGGTTGGGATAAAATGTCCTTGGTGACGTAAGGACAGCGTGCCGAGGGAGGCAGGCTCATTGAGAAACACACAGAGGAGACACACCTCTGCGGGGAGAGAGCCTTGTTTGTCCAGGAGGCATGATCTCAGTCGGTCCCACTGGGATCAACTGAGAAGCTGTGTTCCCTCTGCGGCTTTGCTAAGAGTAGGGCTTTGCGGAGAGGAGGAGGTTAGTGCTGTCCACGGGTGAAGGGATTTGTCACATCCTTCTAAGACCCAACCCCAGGCTACTTGGGGAGCCAGTTTAAAATAAAACCTAGCAGGGAAAGTCAGGGATGTTGGTAAGACACGTGCACAAGATAGACCGCAACGAGGAGACTATGGGTTCACGGTGGAAACAGGCTGCTGACCTCGGCACCTGCTCCGAGGTCTGGCCGTCCCTCATGAGAGTTCAACAGCTTCTTTCCCTAACCAGCAAGCCACGGGGGATGCTGCCCTTTGAGCCCGGGGCAAGTACCTCTTACAGCTTCCTTTCTTAGGGGGACACAGCCTCGGACGGGCCAGCACAACCCCAGGTGGGGGGTTCTCAAACATCAGTGGGTAGAGGATCACCTGGAGAGGACGCTGGGCATGGGCAGCCCTGGGCTTCACCCCCAGACGAGCTGATTCAGTAAGATGGGGGCCAGGCCCAGGAACCTACATTAACAGTCTTTTTGACTAGGTAAAACATGTATATGGCACAAAATTCAAGTAACATTAGAGATGTGGTATCGGGTAACTTCTTGTATTCCTTGAAAAAATGTCAGTGGTAGCACACAGATTATTTAGTGCCTTGTTTACTTTGTCTTTCTTTCTTTCTTTCTTTCTAACAATGTCTTGGAAACCACTATGTAACAATACACAGAAATCTGCCCCTTTTTAAAAAGTCATTTCTACCCTCAACATAGGGCTCGAAATCATGACCCCGAGATCAAGCATGGCATGCTCCACTGACTGAGCTGGCCAGGCGCCCCCGTCCTATTCTTTTTTATTTTTATTTGACGAGGCATAACATAATACTCAGGAAAGTGCTCGCTGAACTTGTACCCGCTTACACCCATGTAAACACCTCCCAAAGCATGTAAGCCATGGCTTAAATTACTTTAAACAAGTCATTGTGGATTAAGACTTGAAAAGGCCAATGGGGCACCTGGGTGGCTCAGTGGGTTGGGCCTCTGCCTTCGGCTCAGGTTATGATCTCAGGGTCCTAGGATCGAGCCCCGCGTCGGGCTCTCTGCTCGGCGGGGAGTCTGCTTCCCCCTCTCTCTCTGCCTGCCTCTCTGCCTACTTGTGATCTCTCCCTGTCAAATAAATGAATAAAATCTTAAAAAAAAAAAAAAAAGACTTGAAAATGCCAATCTAGATTTCTAGATTTTTCTCCAAAGCAGTGTTCTTCGATCTGACTGTATCGATCGGACGCCCATTAAATTCACCCGGAGGATCTTGTAAAACGACAACACTAATGCCTGGGCCCCTCCCAGATTCAGTAACTCCAAATCGTCGGTGGGTGGGGCCTAGTCTTTCCCCAGACCTCCAGGGGCCTCCAAAGTGCAGGCAGGGCTGAGAAGCACCACTGTAAGGAACAGGGCCTGCTTGGGCTCTGGCAGATCTGGGAAAGCGGTTTCTAGAGCATACTCTCGCTCTGCCTCTTGGTCATCCCTTTACAGACCTCCCTTCCCGTCCGCTTGCAGTAAGCTTCCCCCATGGGGAAGCGCTGTTCTGCCTTCTGGAAGCTTCCGCAGGAGGGTGGTTGGCCTGGTAGCAGCTTTCCGAGTAGCTCCTCAAAGCCAGGTTTCTACACAACCAGACACCTCCTCCGTCCACCAAATGCCCAGTCTTTAAAGCCCCGAATACGTACAAGTCCTTTCTGGTAACCTTCCTTGTGAAGAGTGAACCAGAAGAGCAGCATCAAGGTTAAATCACAGCAAGACTGAAGCGCTAGCAGCCACCTAGTGGTTCTCAAAGTATGGTCCCTGCGCCAGCAGCGTCAGCTGTTCAAAATGCACGTTCTTGGGTCGCACCCCACTCACTGACTCAAACTCAAAGGGTGGGAACCACACAGAGGGTCCAGACACATGACAGCTGGGCCCTGCCTCCAGAATTTCTGACTCAGGAGGTCTGGTCTGGGTGGGATGACGATTTGCATTTCTACCCAGTTGCCAGGCGATGCTGTGGCTGCGAGTCCAGAGACCACACTTTGAGAACCACTGTCCTGGCTGATAAAAAAGGCAGAGGAAATCTTCGATTTTCTGTTTCTTTTGTCCTTTAAAAGCGCAGTTCAAAAAGATGCTTCACGTCGCACAGACTTAGACAAATGCAAATTCAAAAGAAGATTAGGAATCATTTTCCATTGCCCTTGCTAGAAAAAGTCAACAATGCCCCGGACTGGGTCTGAGGGGTGTGGGTAACAGGCACCCCCCAGCCCGCCCACTGAGGTGGGGGTGGACACTGGCCCCGCCTTCAGAAGGCAACACGGTAACTAACATCTGTTAGAGCTGGTCCCAGTACCAATCTCAGAGCCAGCAATTCCACCTCCGGGGGCTTTATACTGTAGTTGTGCAAAGAGGTATGCACGTACGTGCAAAGACAGGTGAGCAAGAAAGTTCACCGCATCACTGCTGGTAGCAGATGGGGAGGGGGAATTCCAACAGCCGAGGCCCAGGGAAGTCGCTATGACAAAGAACGAGGTCGAGTCCAACCTGCTGACATGGAGTGACTCTGACCACGCCAGGACCAGCATGGGAGATGACACCATGTCCAGTGCGTGCTTGGACTTTAAAGGGATTATACGCACACACCTCTCTGATTGAACATTTGCTGAAAAACCGCAGCGGAAACGGACTTCCTAGAGAGAAGGCTGGAGGGTTGAAGGTGGGAGGGAGACACAGTTTGACTCATGGCAGAGACTTTTGTCGCTCTGGAATGGTTTTATTACATACACACACCAGTTTTTCAATAAAATTCCAGCTAGTTAAAACACAAACAAACAAACTGTGAGGGGGCACCTGGGTGGCTCAGTCGATTAAGCGGCTGCCTTGGGCTCAGGTCATGATCCCAGAGTCCTGGGATCGAGCCCCACATCAGGCTCCCCTCTCAGCGGGGGGAGCCTGCTTCTCCCTCTCCCACTCCCCCTGCTTGTGTTCCCTCTCTTGCTGTGTCTCTCTCCCTGTCAAATAATAAATAAAATCTCTAAAAAAAACAGTGAAAATAAAGAATAAAAAAATATGTTTAAATCCGTTTGAACCAGGTTCTGCGAGGCTCCAGACACCCAGCACGTCCCTCAAGCTGGAGTGGAGGCTCGTGCTGTTTGAGATGGGAACACTATTTGCCCAAATGAGAAATGGTATTAAGGGACTTATTTTAAATTGTTATTAAAATCTTTACTTTTCTGCCATTTCCTTGGGGTTCTGCCTAATTTCATTCATCCCTTGACTATTTATAACTCTTTGTTTTGTTCTAACATAGAAGGAACTATACTAGGTGATGCGCTCCGTACAGTAGAGATATTCTCGGTCTCGCTCCCCACTGTATCTGTGTGCCCAGGCGCTGGGTGACCACTCGGTCCTTAGTACCTAAATGAATGGACGAGAGCCTGGGCGCATTGTGTCCCAGGCCCTGTCCTGGGAACATACAAACAGTGGGGGAAGATTGGAAGGGATGACATGGCTCTCCCGACCTCACAGAGTGAGCCATGGGGAGCACTGGACTTTGGACCCACATCGAACCCCAAACCCCAGTCCTTTGCCTCACGGCACAAACCCACACAAGTAATAGTACTGTAGGGATTTATTTTTTCATTACTAAAAGTCTTAACTGTCTCATCATCGGATTCCTTGCAGGCCTTTTTTAAAAAATTGTATTTTTAAAATATTTTTTAAAGCTTTATTTATTTATGCAATCTCTACACCCGACGTGGGGCTGAAACTCACAATCCCGAGATGGAGAGTCACGTGTTCCACTGAACGAGCCAGCCAGGCGCTCCTGGACCTGTCTATCTTGACTCGGGTTTGAGACTAATTCTTTGAGACCTAGAGCAGATGTTCGTTCAGATGTCACTGGGGCAGTTACAAAACTCAGATTTGCTACCCCACCGAGGAGCAATTACAGCTAATCGTGTAGGCACCTGGGGAGCCTCAATGTAATTAAATCCAAACACACCTGATCCGGATAAAGGGCCAGCCCTGCCTAACTCGGGACAAGCTGTTGGGTGTCGTGTGAAGAGCTGCCCGTCTTTCCCAGGCAAGGGCACAGCGTTAGCCCAGCTCCAGCATCAGCCTTCTGCTAGGCCCTGGGTCCTCCTGGGATTGCCACCTGGTGACAGCTTACCAAACACCCTCGGTGACTGCGAGCCGCTCCCCAGACTGTTTCATAAAGCTCCCCCGATCTGTTCTTTCATACGAGAAGGATTTTAATGAGGCTGTGTATTTAATCCTTACG